AAGACTTCTCACCTCAGCTGCTCCATTGTAATTGTTCCATTTGTTTATTCCTGTTGCGTGCTAACTGGAAGCTAAACCAGGGCAGCTTACTTCTGAATGGACCACCACACTGAATAATGGGTCTCAAATATGTTCAGTGCTTCTTTCTTCCCTCATTATTTTCTATTTTTTACCTGAAATCTTTATTTCCTGGTTCAGGCTTAGAACATCAAAATACGATGATTCTGTTTCTGGCAGAACTGTGGCAAGAGAAACTGTTTTTATGAGATTTTAGAGCCCACCAAAACCAACAGATCTGGCTAGTATGACTGAGAATGACTAAGCCTAAAGATGGCTGAGAGGATCCTCTGAACCTTGTGTGTCCTATCACTATCCAGTTTAGCAGTGGTATTATCTGGGGTAGTAATAGTGTGTGCACTAAATTAGCCTATTTCAATGCTCATTAAAGGGTCTCTGAAAAAGCCATACTATTTAGTTAATGCGTATTAAAATAGGCTAATGCTCATTAAGTGTCACTTAAAAACCATGCTCTTTAGTTAATGTGTATTAAGACCGGCTAATGCACATTTTCCTAGTACCTCACAATGGAATTAACATGCATTAATGTGCCTTTTCTAATGTGCATTCAGTACCTCTGGGCAGTTTTACACGTGCTCTGGGGTGGCTCCAAAAGCCACACCAATTAAAGCGCTGCCATGCCTCTTGTCTCTAATTAAAGCACTGCCACATCTCAAGTTCATTTGAAGAGCTTTAGTTCAAGTGCTCCTACCACCATTTTTAAGTGTGGGGACACTGATACATGAGACACAGGAACCCTGCTGGAGTGCAGTAATTGCCACACTCCAGCAGACTTGGTTAATAATGTCTGCTCTGACAGGCTGAAATTACAGCGCATGGGAGCAACCTCTGCACTCATGTTCAGGCACCCTCCAATGTGAGGTCCTAAATTAATGCACATTAGGCTGCACTAATGCACAGTAGCGTATTTGCATGCTTTTTTAGTGATGTTTAATGCACAGTAGACTATTTTTCTGTGCATTAGTGTAATGTCATGGTTTCTTATGCGATACTTTAATGCACAGTACAATAGTCTACTGTGCATTAAAGCACATGTGTAGAGGTGCCCGTGAGGCATTTGTACACATGTTTGCACTGGCACATACATTTATATAAACTGCAAAATGCATGTCAGCACTGAGAAAATGGCAGCATGTCAGCGCTGAGAAAAATCAAAGGTGCTTTTCTCAGTGCTGATGTGCATTTCACCTTTTATACAAATGGTGTCAGGCACGTCAGTAAGTGTCAGGCATGTCAGCTTGTGTGCGGAGGAGACTCCATTAATCAAGTCTGCTCCAATGCGCTAGATCTCCAGATCATCGGAGCAGACAAAGGTACATATATAAATGCCCATGGGTATTAGATTTAATGCGCATTAATGAATGCACATGAATGCATGTGTAGACATGCTCAGTGATACCAAGGTGGTGGACTCATCCAGCATGCTTAGCGAGACTGTCAGAAAGATAAATGCATGGGCCATGTGACAGGCCAGAATGGAGTCCCACATGAGAATGCTGGGAGCTTCTAAATGCTGCTATTGCTTTATGAAAAGAAGTATATTGAAGGAAAAGGGCATTTAGTAATGCTATTTTCCATTATGGTTTCTGCACCACAAAGGGAAGCTGCCTTTCCCACAAATTAACTC